TATATATATATATATATATGTTTGTATACACACATGTATTTGACAACAATATTATGCAATAATGAAGCATTAATGAAAAGCTGAGGCTCTGAAAATGAATGTATATTGTGTGGGAATATCCTCCCAATAATAGGGCCCATGTGACAGAGTAGTATAAAAGGATAGGAAAGGGCTAAAGTCTGAGAGCAAAAAGGGAGAGAGCAATATGGCCAATAAGAAAGGGAGATCAGGGAATAATTGATGGGAGAAGTTAATAACTAGTTGGATTCTCAAGGGTGAGTTTCTTTTATATATGTGGAACTGGCAACTTTTCACTTGGATACATTAATTAAAGAATTCCCCTGAGTCCTCCTGAAGGCACAATCTTGTTTTCATCTCCCAAAAATTTTATTATGTAATCAACAACAAATATGAATTCAACACATATGAATTGCCTAACTACTATTGTATTTCTTTCTGTTGGATTCTCTTATTTTAAAGTGGTGAATGAGACATGGTTTTTGCCCTCAGGAAAATTCTAATCAAAATGAGTCACAGGGTAAGGATGGAATTTTCCCATTCTTGTCAAGCAAGCTATTTGAGTCACCACAAGTATGTGAACTATAAAAGCTGCAGAACTAAGAGGGTTAGATGATGTTAGATGCTTAACATGGCACCGTCTTAGGAAGATATGTCAATGCGGCAGGCCAATACAGAGATAAGAACTCTTTTATACATATCTGACTTCTAGATTTACTCACAGGTTATAGAGATGGCATACGTAGTCTAAGCTGATTTATTTGAAACAGATTGGATCACAAGCAAGTGGGGAAGAGAACAAGAACTCTGAATTGCCAACAGTTTATTACCTAGTCTGTCTTTATAATGGAAAAGGGATCATCTCCAGAAAAAAAGAAGATATTGTGTTTGCTTTCAAACAATCATAAAAGGTCAGTGTGATGTCTATGTGAATGGAATGACCATATGAGAAAAAGCCCAATGTACAGAGGAAAGTCAATAAATTTGCACAATAATCTATACTTTTCATTTTATTATGCCCACTTTTTCGAAGTTACCTGAGGGCAGGAAGTGTCTTTCTTGTTTATGGCTTCGTCAATAATATTGAACTGTCTTGTGTGGGACAAATGTAGCAGTCAATCGATTGTATTGAATAAACCAAGTAATACATGGTTATAAACAGTCACAGATTTCTTCCTCTCTCTCTTTTGCTTAAGAAACTGGTTTATAAATTAAAGATGTCATTGACAAAATATTTATAAACTTGAGAATTTTGAATCTAGCCTAAGGCAATTTGTACCAACATCTCCCTAAGTTATACCAAAAGCCTTATAAGTTTATTATAAATGCAGAGTTTAGAATTTTAGTAAATGTTATTGCAAGATTATAAATCTTATATTCAAAATATTTTTATATTACTTTTTCTTTTTGCAAAAGAGAAACCTACATGAAAGTTAACTATTCATTTGTTCAAATGCATTTAGGTTTTCTTCTTTCTTAAAAATTTTAAGAAGTTAAACAAAATGATTGTACACTGTGGATTTAAATTATTCTGTTCTGTAGGCATAAAACCAGAAATGCTATGAAAAATTATTCTAAAGCTATGTAATGTACATGGAAATGTGTTTATGTCAAGTACCATTGTGTAAAAACAAACATTGATATCAAGGCAAATTTCAATTATCTGCTTTATAGTACATGATATTTAAATAAATAACTTGGTTCTCTCTTTAAAATTTGTTACTAATTTGGGAAAACAAGGTGGGGGGTGTTCAGAATTTTGACAGAGAAATGAAATGTGCTTGTCCTCTTCGGTGTAGAAGCAATCCACTTTATAAGGAATAGTCTTGGCACTGTGTCCCCTGTAACTTTGTAGTCTGATCTGTGCTTCCTCAGCAAATCAGGACAAAAGAGAGGAAGAAAAGCACATTTTAGCCACCGTGATGCAGATAATGGAGTGAGAAACTTTGAAACATATTGTTTTTGACAAAACAGTTTCCTCCTCAGAATTAAATATCAAAACGTGGTTTCCATTTTTCCATGAACATGTCACACATTCCACTCTGAGTGACGTCTGAGGTTCTGATTCCGGATATGGGCTAGGAGGGTCCAGGTCATGTAGACAGTCACTAAGGTTGTTTGATTTATGAATGTATTAGTCAGCTTGCTAAAAAAAAGTCCACATAAAATAGGCATATATTATTGTCTTAACTTCTATTTCATTATACTGATTTTAATTTATTTGCATATATAAGTTGATTGAATCCAAGAAAATAAATGATTGCTAAAAGTAGACACAGTTTGCATTTGGATAGCAAAGAAGACCAAAAAAAAAAGATTACTGGAAGGTCAAGGAAAATAATGCTTAAAAAAAAAAACAACTCAGCTTCCAAAATTTGATGATTCTGAATCGAAATGTAGCTTTAAACAACTCACTGGACACAAGTCTTCAGAACAATTTGGGCATAAGGGCTGTGTTCTATTTCCAGCTTCTTAGCTCCATGTAGTCTTCATATTTGTCCATACAGTTCTTTGCATTCAAGTTCATTTATATCCAGACTTATAATATATTAGTAAAAGAGTTCACCAGAATCTAATGAGAGATTGTTTTAATCACAAAACATTAGATCAAAGCAAAAAAACAAACAAAAATAATAAGATCAAGTGTTCTATGTATCAGGCCTGGCAGATGGCATGGTGGTTAAGGGCACTGGACTCTCACATGGCCAACCACAGTTCAAGTCCTGGACCTCATGGCTTGCTTTCTCACTTTCTCTCTCATCAAATTAAAAAAATAAATAAATATATATATTTTTTAAAATAAAGAGTTCCATACATCCAAGTATAATTATTTTTAGCCTATCAGGAAATTAAGTTAGGTTAGTAAATTGTCATTTGGTGTCCAATGAGAGGTTGTTACAATCAGAAATATTGTGAAAACAAAAATGATAGAAGAAATAAGGTTGCCTCATGCAAAATACAGTTTTTATTAGATAAAGATTTTTAAAAACTATTTTATTTAACTTTATTCATTCATTCATGTATTTATTTCAATTTTACCAGAGAGGGATAGAGTGAGAGAGAGAGAGAAAGCAAGCCTCCAGGTCCAGAACTCAAGCTGCAGTCAGCCATGTGGGAGTCCATCACACTTAACTACCAAGCCACCTGCCAGCCCTGATTAAGATATTTTTTAAAGCACCGCTTATATATAACAGCAGCTTATTTCTATCAATCGACATAAAATAATTCTTTACTTCTGATGATAGTCCAATTCTGCTTTCAAATTTATGAGTATATTTTTAATATTCATATGCATTTCCATGCAATAATTTACACTGTAATTTTTGTACTGCCAATGAAACACTTCTTGACTCCATGTATGCATGCATATTATTAGAGAAAATGCAGAGTTGTAGCTGACTTCGTATGGTACACAGTATTAAAATAAAATTTCAGGTGAGAAACGCATTTTATGATACATATAAAACAGGCTCATCAATCATGACATGGATTTAGACTGAAATAGATTATTGTAAGTCTATATAAAGACCTTATCTTTTAATCTGAGTACTCATGGCTGTTGCAAAATTTTGAGGACAATATGGTTTGATTTGTGCTTCAGAAGGATCATACTGACTTGTGCTGAGATGGCAAAGAGAAACTACAGGCAATTCAGTAAGATGTGGTGGCGGGGTGGTCACTGTGGATATGATGAGAAATGGTCAAGGAAAAAGCAAAAGTTCAGGTTTTTGTTTTTTTGTTTCATTTTGTTTCTTATAGAGATTTTTGCTATAGGGCGCGCACACTTGCTAGAAAGACAGAGACAGAAAGTGAGAAATCCCCACCCTGGGGGGATGGCCATGGCACAATCCCTTCTCCTCTGTGCTCCTCTTGGTATTTTGGACATGCATGCACATGCATCTGGCATGAGTTTTAAGCCATTGGGTCCATGAATTAAACTGTGGTTGACTACATGGGAGTCGGTGACATAACTATCACACCATCTGCTGGTCCCAAGGGTTCGGTTTTAAATCTGTAAGTTTAAGGTGATGACCTTAGCAGTCTATGTATATACAGCTTAATGGATAGAGATGCTGAACCTTCTTTAGGGGACAGGGTACAGTAGAAAACAGGTAGCCAATAGCCAAGACAACTGCTCTCCTAGAACTGCCTTCTACCAGGGGAATACAGGAAAAAATCTAAATAACTGACAGATATCACAAGTGCTGTGAGGAAAGTGACATAGGTATTGTTTTGTAAAAACCATTGCACCAGGTGTTCACTGTTATTTACTATAGTTTATTATTTCTCAAGTTCTCTTGCTTTTCTGATATACTTTCGGTTTCTTCATTGACCTAGTTGTTCAAAATTGTTTACTAGTTCAATATAAAATTATGTAAGAAGAAGGAAAGGTCTCAAAGATTGTCTTTTTCTCTAGAGTGGGTTTACATTGTTTATGAAAGTCATTAGGGTTTTCAGCAAACGAGAATGATCTTCATACAGTCAGGGATTGAAATTGGAGGCTTATTTTGGGTGTGTAGACCAGCGGTGTTGCAATCAAAAACATGAGTGATTTACTAATGCCTCCTAGTGAGACTTGAACCCAATATTTAATTCTATTCATGTAAAGTCTCAAAAACTCTCATCAAATTCCCGACCTTTTGATCACCCCTTTCAGAGTTGGCAGGTACTCCTAAGGGGAAAGTGGAACTAAGTATCAGGTTCATGTCCCTCTGGGTTTCATTTTTCTTTTCTTTTGGAATTTGGCCCTGCAAGTGCTTTGTTAGCATTACACACACGCACACACACACACATACGCACACACTTTCTTAATCTATCTGGGTGAGAGGGTTGAACCAAATTGCCATTTCTATTCTCTTATTGGAAGCAGGACTTCTGGGCCTATATATATATACATGTATATATATATATATATACACAAATACATATTTAAATCAATATTTTATAACAAATAGTAATAACTAGGTAGAATACATAAAGTTTAACAAGTGCATAAGCTGAGATTCTATAACAGGAGGTTCTTGTAACAGAGTGGGCAGCTACGATTTTCCTTTGAATGGTTAAAAGATGACACTGTGGAGAGGATATTTATGCCAAGAAATGAAAGACAAGGGAAAAACAAGCCGTATGACAACCTGGAAGTGTTGAGCGAGGTTGGGTATGTTGGGGAATAAGAAGGGACAGTGCACCTGCAGAGTTCATCACAGCAGGGAATTGTAGAAGAGACTGGGAAATCACTTAAGGGGAAAGTCATACAGAGCCTGGAGACGGGACAAGGAATACAACGACTAAAATGTCTGCCTGTCTGGGCTTATTTTAGATACCAACTCCCAACCAAATGATGGAGGACAAAAAAGATCAATGCTTACCTGTTAGGAACTCATCACATACACAACCAGAGAAGTCTTCTACAATATCTTTCTTCTCAAATACCTCTTTTCATTACATTTCCTACTGGCTTCTAAACTGCATTTTCAGGCTAAACCAGTGGTCTACTGATGCACATTTATATTTTTTCTCTCTTAGAGCAAAATAAAATGAGAGGAAATAAAATAACATAAATCTAGAAATAAGAGATTGCCGTTTTATAATCTCCAAAATAATAATTAATATAGGCAAGATTATCAACGCTTGCTGAAAGTAAAAAGTTAATGCCAAAAAAATACAGTTTATGTAGGAAATATCTTGCAGTCATATTCTCCTTGGTGATCCACAACATAGCAATAATTGAATTTGCCAGGTTTCTTCAAACACACTACCATATGCTTAATGTCAGTAATAGATTCATGTCCCTTTAAGATTCCTGAGGATTATAAACTACCACACTGAAATATACTATAAACTCTTTTTACCTTTGTGCCACTGTATTTTTTTTTAAATTTGTATTTTGGGCCAGCCCATGGCCCAGGGGTTAAGGATCCCATATGGCTGACCTCAGTGGCTTGAGAAGTATGTCAGGTACATTAGCATGCATGGCCAAAATACTGAAAAAGAAAGAGATGTAGGAGAAGGGATTGCAGCATGACCATTCTCCAGAGGTGGGGAGACTTTCTCACCATTCCCCCCACCCCAGCAAGCACACACACAAATTCTGGCAAAACAAAAAATAATAATTATAAATTGTTTTCTTGACAATTAAACCAAGACTTAAAATCTTAGATTGACACCTCTCTCTCTCTCGTCAAACTGTGTGATCATCTCCTTCGAAACA